CCCCCCCCCCCCCCCCCGCCACCTCCACCCTCGGTCTGCCCCGGCTTCACCCCCCTTCCGACAGGGATTGTTTGTTTGGGTGTTTTCTTCTGATTCTTTCTTCTTCTTTCGGGAGGTGGGAGGGGAAGAAGCATCTGTGTCTTCTTCCATTGTACTTCCGCCACCACGTGGGTGCAAGTGATCGATTCTGCAATCTGGGCACCCACTGGTGGAGGTGCTCAGGGGGCTCGGGCCGGAGAGCAGAGGCTGAGCACTGTTACCCCCCCCCCAAGAGCTTGTTTAGTGTGAAGTCCCGAGGCGTAGCTCTCTACAGATAGCGACACCCTACTTTCCCCAAATTCAAGGTTATTCGTAGCCCTTGATGGACCGGCCCCTGCGTGAAGACACCACACACTGGGTGGCCTCGGGATTCGGCCCCCTGCGTCCCACTAGCTCCGGGACACTGGCACCCAACTTTTGCATTCTGCAGAGTCTAGAATGGGAGATGTGCGCTCTGTTGCTGCTTTTATTTTTGTTTGTCTCATCTTCCTTAGGAATGGTTGGTTGTCTTTCCAATGTTTCTCTTACCTTTTTTTTTTCTTCTTCTTCTTCTTCTAGTTAGTGTTAAGTGGTATTAAAAGAGGAGCCTGTATCTTTGGTATGATTACTTATACTGCTCAGTGTTTGTTTTGGAATGGCTAATATACACTTAAAGTGACTCACAACCTGGTTTTATCATAACACGGTTTGGGGCTTATATTATTCTAGATAGAGGTGCTAAAATGGGTGATCCAGGGATAGGACATAATCATTTCCCAAGGGCTGGAGATTTCACATTGAGTATTTGGCTCCTAGCCACAGCGTTGGTAGTTAAGAGAGAGTCCCATCTTCCTGATGTGGAAACTGAGACTTAGCATGGAGGAGCCAGGATTCCAAACTACTTCCTTCACATCCTCTCAGGGAAAGAAATGATTACTTATCTATCCCAAGTAAGTATAGATCATGACTACAATGTGTGTTTTATACTAAAATTATATTTAAAGGGAAATTTTGCTTAGAATAATGACATTTCTAATTGAAATCTCTTTCTAAAGACAATCCTATTTGGAACCCCAAACACTGATATCTATCAGTAGCTCACTTTGTATTTCTTCTCCCCCTCACCACCACTGGCAGCCACTTTGCTAGCAGGAGCTAATGTGACCAACTCCTTTCCAAGCTCCATTGTATTGACCCTTCAGAATTTTGGGGAGAAATTGAGAGTTGGTGGTTGTTGGCATGAAAACATTACTTGTCCTCAGTAGATAAGATTCAGTAGATAGTCCTTCCTCATTGCTCAAGTGGCATTAATTGTGAACAGTTGTATCTTATCATTGGCATTATTCTATTTAGAATTTATTTCAATCTCAGTTTTTCTAACTAAGATTAGGTTGCAAACCTAAGATGTTTAGTTTGCCTTGAAATTTTTACCCCTACTCAAATTTATGTTTTCCTATCACCCCAATATTCAGATTCAAATCCTAGGTTAGCTCATAAATCACTATTTGCACTAATTCTCCAACTGTACATAAATTGAGGCTTTTGTTTGTTTTCAGTTCATCCCAGTTTTTGATTTATCTACTGTCTAGGCTAGTTGATTCTTATTCAGTACCAGTATTAATTTTGGATAGTAATGACTTATGTATTGCTGGGTTTTTTTCAAGTAGTTGTACCCACTTTTAATGTCTCTGTAACAAGAGCCAGTGGTGGTAACTGTCTGACTTTCTAAAACATACTAACCCGTATTTTAGGAATCATGCCATTGTCTTATCCTTGCTAACTAGGATGGTCCTATCCACAACCAAGCGACAGAGGATCTACAATATCAAATCATGTCTATACTACCCTCAAAATTGCAGTAAAGTACTGCCTTCCAACTGTATTCACAGTTTATTCTTCCTCTGGTTCCTGTTGCCCTCTTGGAATTAATTAGCCTATTTGTCATCCCTCCTGCTTTTCATGCCTTCAGAAACTGCAATCTGTATATAGACTATTTCCAAAATACCATTTTCCTTTTAACTGAGATCATGTGCTTCCTAGACCCTCACAAACTATCCTAATAGGATTTAGCAAGCCACTTCCTTCTGTTTATGTATTTGTACATGCCCAATTCCTTAGACACCTCACTACCTAAAATCTTACATATAATCATTGCTCTCAGACATCATAACAGGCTATCATATTTGTTTTCCTAGCTAGCTTCAGGAGATTGAATTACTATTTTGGCTGGTCTTTTTCAGGCAAGAACTTTCTAGCCAGAAAATACCACATCATGCTATAGGACCTTAAGAACTCTCCTTGTACTCTGAGAATCATGTTTTTCTGGCTTCTGAACTAATCACTTATAAGCATAGACACATCTACCTAACTCCAAGAGCATTGTAATCAAGCCTGTCTTTCTCCTAAAATCTTGCTATTTGTGAAACTGCTGTACACTTTCTTATTTAAGAAACTTCTTAGGGGCTGGGAAGGCGGCTCAGTGGTAAAGCGCTTGCCTTGCATGCCAGAGGCCCTGGGTTCAATTCCTCAGCACCACATAAACAAAAAGAAAAAAGCCGGAAGTGGCGCTGTGGCTCAAGTGGTAGAGCACTAGCCTTGAGCTGAAGAGCTGAGGGACAGTGCCCAGGCCCAGAGTTCAGGCCCCACAACCAGACCCCCCCCAAAAAAAGAAACTTCTTGGGCTGAGAAGGTGGCTCAGTGGTAGAGTGCTTGCCTTGCATGCATGAGGCCCTGGGTGCGATTCCTCAGCACCACATAAGCAAAAAGAAAAAAGCCGAAGTGGTGCTGTGGCTCAAGTGGTAGGGACGGCACCCAGGCCCAGAGTTCAGGCCCCATGACTGGACCCCCCCCAAAAAAAAAAAAGAAAAAGAAACTTCTTTAGTGCATGATGACCCAGGCAGAAGAAATTCCTAGGAATTAGTTAGTGGAAAGTGCTTATAAGTAGGAATATGATAGAAGGTCCAAGTACCACCCTTCAAATAGAAGGCAAGGGTGACAGACCTGTCAGCTGTGCATCTGTAATTCAGCCTGCATTATTCATAATGTAACTAAAGCTTGGGAATGGGAAGGTAAGAATAGAAAAAAAGGAGAAAAAACAACACAGGGATTCATGTTACAGTGTGGCAGATGCAGGGGATGGAACATAGCCCAGTCCATTGAGACCCCCATGTTGATCCCAGGCTGTCATTTTTGAATTTGGGGAACCAAAAACAGTCTTATGTGACAAACCAAATACCAAATCTGTCTTCCTAAGCCCAGTTAACAACCTTTACAAACATACCAAATCTTTGTTTTTGGAGATAAGGTGTTGCGTGTGCCACGTCTGGCATGTAGGAATTCTGGATGTGCCGGGTGTGTTTGGCCACTTGGCTCTATTGAAAGGGAAATGGTTCTGCTCTGTAATGTGGCAGTTGGCAAAGGACTTTGACCTCTTTATGTTCCAAGTTGGACAGAGTAAACTACAGTCAACATACAGGTCCCTGAGGATGACCAGCAGGTGGTGAAGTAATTAGCACAGTTTATACTGTATACTCAATTGTGCTAGTAGCTGGAAGCTCATTTTATGTGAAGTTTCTTGTAGCTTCTTGTCAACCAAGTAGCGCTGTGAAGTTAAAGTCAGTCTATTAATAGAGCTGTCAGTCAGTAGACATTGGGAAAATTTTTACACCCAGTCCTCTGGGTGAGGATCTGCTGAATCTTTCCTGGCTATTAATAGGATGGCTTAGGAGTTCCCACCAAAAGAAGTCTGTTGGCCTTAGTAGGCAAGAATGTTTTCCAGAAAGGTTAAAATGTCTGGTGATCCATTTGTGATGATTTTTTCCTTTACTGTCTCTGATAACTAGCTAGATGTTGTTATTACAAGCTATTTGAGCCATCGCCAATGTGTAATAGTCTAAACATTTGTGGTTTGCCTTTTTAAACACTTCTGAAATATGATTCTAAGCATGGTGTGACAGTTCTTATTTTGTGGTGATTTATAGTGAGGGGAATGCTCTACTGTCTATAAAATGGAGCTATTCCCAAGGAATCAAATTGCCATACAAAATTGTGTTGCATGAGGTTATTAAGTACTTTCTAACTTGCTAAGTAGTAATTATGGACTGCAGAAGAGCATGAGGAGACCTTTGAGGTCAGAATATTCTGTCTGTATATATTTGTCCGAACATTTTAAATTGTTGAATTAATAATATGTCCTTAAACTTTAGTAAAGCCTATTTTTAAAAGCTAATGGTGAGAGCAACAATAAGGCAGTAAAACCTGATTCAGAGACTTCTAGGAAATGTATCTAGAATTTGTTGATTCTCAAGCCCACTGAATTTACAAAGAGCTGAGAGTTATAGAGAAAAGTAGAACATGATGAAGGATAAACTATCACCTTTCTTTTTAGTTTATTTTTATCTCATTATTACAGGTCAAAGGCAGAAATGAGACATACCTGCCGTGGTACCATCAACCTCGCCACTGCGAATATCACTGTCGAGGATTCTTGCAACTTCATTATTTCCAATGGGGGCGCCCAAACCTACCATCTGAAGGCAAGCTCAGAAGTAGAGAGGCAACGCTGGGTGACAGCTCTGGAACTGGCCAAGGCCAAGGCCGTTAAGATGCTGGCAGAATCAGGTGGGGAGCAAAGCATGCTATTCCTGGGAGTCTTTCTGTTGACCTCTCTGTGCTGTGTCATCTGTCTGTTAGATGACTCATTCTTCTTATACAGTATTTCTCCTGGAGTGGTAGCTTTCGACTGGGGCCAATTTTGTGTATGCACAGGTGTGCATATGTGTACATACGCCAAGGACAGTTGGCGATGTCTGGAAATATGTTTAGTTTTTACTTTCGAAGAGTGGAGAAGTTATTGTCAACTAGAGAGTAGAGATGAACAATACTGCTAATCTCCCTCCAAAGCATAGGATAGTACTGCCCACAAAGAAATAATCTAGCCAAGATTGAAAAAAAAAACCACTGGAGATACATAACATTTTTTTCATTTGTTTGTTTAATACCAATCAACTACCTTAAAATTTTGAGACATAATTACTTTATGTCTAAATCAAGTGTCAAATCAGTTTCTAAATCAAATAGTGAGTTGTTAAACAACTTAACAATTTAGATCTACCCCAACTTTTCTCTTTTCTCCTGATAGCTTATTTGTTAGTTAAGTTGAACTCTTAATGTACACCAAAAAAAACTATGTATGTAGGGGCTGGGAAGGTGGCTTAGTGGTAGAGTGCTTGCGTAGCATGAATGAAGCCCTGGGTTTGATTCCTCAGTACCACATACACAGAAAAGGCTAGAAGTGGTGCTGTGGTTCAGGTGGTAGAGCTCCAACCTTGAGCACCGAGAAGCTCATGGACAGAGCCTTAGTTCAAGCACCAGAACCTTCCCCCACAAAAAACCCTATGTATGCAATATTTCTGTGAAAAGTCATTTTTGTATGTTACACTAAAAAGAAGAGTTTCTTTTATTATTGGGGGTGGGAGAGTGCCAGGCCTTGAACTCAGGGTCTTGCACCTGCTTGGCCAGGCACTCTATTGCTGAGCCACTCCTCCAGCTCTGCTGTTTTCTTATTTTAGAGATGGGATCTAGCAAACGTTTCTACCCTCTGGCCTTCAACTGTAATTTCATCTTTTTGAGTAACTAAGATTATAGATACGCACCACAAGTGCCTGGCTAAAGAACAGTTAATGGTTTTGATTTTTTTTCTTCAAGAAAAATGGTAAGATTTGCCCATAGTGTCTTCATACTAGCTTTTTTTCTTTTAGAGTGGGCTAGGGTCACTGATTGACTTTGCTGTCGCTTTTCTTCTTGTCATTCCCCATATTGTATTTAATGTCTATTAAGCAATGAAAAGAAAATTCTCTGTTTTGTGAACTTTTCAGTTACAGGTTATATTTTGACCCTGATCCTGTCTCTCTCTTTCACAGATAGGGCATATCTTTTCTTACTTCTTTTATTTTAATTTTGGTGCTGGTATTAGCTCCATGGCACTGCTAGGAAAGCACTTCATAGAGCACTTTTAGAAAGTGTTGAGTATAAAGTGATAGAGCATAGCTCTCACAGCACAGCTTCCCACTTGCTATTGGAGTAGTAGTTTATATAAGACTTTGTATTGCTTTTATACTGGTGCTATTGTCAAATGAGTTCTTCATCATGAAATTCTTGAGCTGTCCTTGAGAAGATAAATTGATTAAACTTACTTCTCTGAAGAGGAAATAAGAATGGCCAATAGACACATGAAGAAATGCTCAAGCTCGCTAGCCATAAAAGAAATGCAAATCAAAACAACATTGAGATTCCATCTCACCCCAGTTAGAATGGCTATAATCAAGAACTCTAATAACAACAGATGCTGGAGGGGATGTGGCCAGAAGGGAACCCTACTACATTGTTGGTGGGAGTGTAAACTTGTTCAACCACTTTGCAAAGCAGTATGGAGGTTCCTCAAAAGACTCCACATAGAGCTCCCCTTTGACCCAGCAGTCCTACTTTTGGGCATTTACCCAAATGATCACAAACAAGACCATACTAAAACTACCAGCACCACTGTATATATTCAGCATTATTTACCATAGCTAAGATATGAAACCAACCCAGATGCCCCTCAGTAGATGAATGGGTCAAGAAAATGTGGTATAGGGACTGGGAAGGTGGCTCAGTGGTAGAGCGCTTTCCTTGCATGAATGAGGCCCTGGGTTCGATTCCTCAGCACTACATAAGCAAAAAAAAAAGCCAGAAGTAGCACTGTGGCTCAAGTGGTAGAGCACTAGTCTTGAGCTGAAGAGCTGAGGGACTGCCCAGGCCCAGAGTTCAGGCCCCACGAATGGACCCCCAAAAAAAAGAAAAAAAAGAAAATGTTATATACATATACACACACATACGTACAATGGAATTCTGTGCTGCCATCAGAAGAATGGCATTCCCCCATTTGTTAGGAAATGGAAAGATTTGGAAAAAATTATATTAAGTGAAGTAAGCCAGGCCCAAAGAAACATAGGTCCCATGGTTTCCCTTATCTGTAATAACTAATATATGTCTGGGACAAGCAGAAAAGGTCAAAAGCTATATATGACCATTTTTTTAAGATGAAGTTAAGTGAAATGAACCCCAAGATAGGGACACAAGTGGTTTTTTCATTCTTGCTATTGTTCTAACATATTTATAAGGTACCATGTGATTTTTTTTTTGCTTTGTATGTTTATCTCTCACATATTTGTTTTCACTGTATTTGAGGTCAGTATAATTGAGGGAGGGGAAGGGAAAAAACAAAATGTTTAGATAGGGATACAGTTTGACCCATTGTAACAATGAGATGTACAAGACACTATGTTGAAAAACGAACTTTACAATTTAGGTGGGGGGGAGTACAGTTGTGGAGTTGGGAGGGAAGGGATGGTAGGAAAAAAACAAAGGAGAAGGCAACAATGCTTGAAAAGACATGTATTCATTGGGGCTGGGAAGGTGGCTCAGTGGTAGAGTGCTTGCCTTGCATGCATGAGGCTCAGCACCTCATAAGCAAAAAGAAAAAAGCTGGAAGTGGTGCTGTGGCTCAAGTGGTAGAGTGCTAGCCTTGAGCTGAAGAGCTGAGGGACAGCGCCCAGGCCCAGAGTTCAGGCCCCACGACTGGACCCCCCCCAAAAAAAAAGACATGTACTCATTACTTTGTTCATGTAACTGTAACCTCTCTGTACAGTATTTTCACAATAAAAAACTTATAAAAATAGGGGCTGGGAAGTTGGCTCAATGGTAGAGTGCTTGCCTCACATGCATGAGGCCCTGGGTTCGATTCCTCAGCACCACATAAGCATAAAGAAAAAAGCCAGAAGTGGCGCTGTGGCTCAAGTGGTAGAGCGCTAGCCTTGAGCTGAAGAGCTGAGAAAAGCGCTCAGGCCCAGGGGTCAAGCCCCACGACCGACAAAAAAAAAAATAAGTTAAAAAACTTATAAAAATAAATAGATTAAACTTTTAATGACATGGACTTGGTCACAGAAGTAGATTCTGATTCACAACCCATTTTTCAGAGGGCTCACTTATCACCAGACAGAGAATGGTAGATTTTCTTTTTTTTTTTTTTTTGTTGGTCGTGGGGCTTGAACTCTGGGCCTGGGCGCTGTCCCTCAGCTCTTCAGCTCAAGGCGAGTGCTCTACCACTTGAGCTACAGCACCACTTCTGGTTTTCTGGTGGTTTATTGGAGATAGGAGTCTCACGGTCTCTCCTGCCCGGGGTGGCTTTGAACCACGATCCTTAGATCTCAGCCTCCTGAGTAGCTAGGATTACAGGCGTGAGCCACCAGCGCCCGGCGAGAATGGTAGATTGTCATAATAATTATCTGAACTATCTGGAACTCTCAAGGTAACGTTTAAAGTCTCAATAATACAGTTCCTAATTCCAAGAGCCATTCTTCATCATACCTACCAAGCCAGTAGTTCTCAAACTTCAACTTTTGGAATACCTGAGCAGCTTATTAGAAATACAGATTCCCAGGCCCTGTCTCATACCAGCTGAACCAATCAATGTCTCTGGGAGTAGAACCAGCAACTTTGCACCTTTAAGAAGCACTCCAGATATTTCTGGTGCAGGTAGTCAATGTACCACATTGCAGGGAAATTGTGTGGTCATGACAGGCCTGCAGTCACTCAAAAGGCCCAGCAAGAACAGTGTCAGTTGGCTTGTGGACAGAGTAGGTAGGGTTCCAACTCTTGAGTCCTGGCCCTGGAGTCGTCCTATAACTTACCCTTTGTATTCCTGCAGATGAATCAGGAGATGAAGAGTCTGTCTCACAAACTGACAAGACCGAGCTGCAGAATACCCTCCGAACCCTCTCCAGCAAAGTAGAAGACCTGAGCACATGCAATGACTTGATAGCTAAGCATGGCACAGCCCTGCAGCGTTCCCTCAGTGAGCTGGAATCCCTGAAGTTGCCTGCTGAGAGCAATGAAAAGATCAAACAGGTCAACGAAAGAGCCACACTCTTTAGGATAACATCCAATGCCATGATCAATGTGAGTGCAGATGGTGTCTCTGTTCTTTTTGATTCTTTCCCTCTGTGAAACATAATTCTTACCCCAAAGCTGGATTGTAATTGATAAAGCCCAGAACATTAGGTCCTGCTTCAGTGCTCAAGGGCTTTAAGTTACATTGTTTGTTTCATGAAATAGAAAAGGCTTGTGAAGATGGAATGACTTTAGTGCTCTGCTCAATTGATCAGGAGGACATTGTTTATAGCCTGGAAGTTTGTTAGGAGTCCAGGGGTCCAGCCCTGCTTCTCACCAGCAGGGTATCTGCTGATCATAATTGTTGAGTCCATCAACCTCTTTAGGATGTCTTCTTCATTTGCTTACTTTTACCTAGTTTAATCTTTCAGCAAAAGATCACTGTAGGTCCTTTTCAGTGTCATGTTCTTTAGCTTCATGTTGGGGTCCTCCTCCTACTTGGCTAATAGATTCTGGCATGCAAGATAGTAACTGAAGGATTAAGAACTAGCAATAACACAGAACTAGTTAGTCCCATCATTAGTCCTTAATCTCATAAGCATTTACGTTACTAAGACAAAATACTCAACTTTGGACACCTTTCCTTTAAAAAGAAGGAGCAACAGTATTTCTGCCTCTTAGCCGGGCGCTGGTGGCTCACGCCTGTAATCCTAGCTACTTAGGAGGCTGAGATCTGAGGATCGAGGTTCAAAGCCAGTCCGGGCAGGAGAGACCGTGAGACTCCTATTTCCAATAAACCACCAGAAAACCGGAAGTGGCGCTGTAGCTCAAGTGGTAGAGCGCTCGCCTTGAGCTGAAGAGCTGAGGGACAGCGCCCAGGCCCAGAGTTAAACCCCAAGAACCAAAAAAAAAAACCAAAAAACAGTATTTCTGCCTCTTCACGATTGCTATCTTGGGTGGCTGTCATTTGTTTCCAGTATATTTTAGCTGCTTGGGTGCCAGACTCCAGGTAAACATAAAGCATTGCTGGTATTACTGATATATTGACGGTATGAAATGAATACATGGTTTTAACAATGCTGTTTTTACTTCTACTGGTAATTTATTCTCACTAGGCAGGTTAATGTAGCTCCCTTCTTATAAAAACACTCAAAGACATTTCATAAGTAAGAAGAGTATCCTGTGAGAAAAAGTTTTCAGGCCTCTTTGCCTAATTAAGTGGGATGAAATTACCTCACTAGTGCCAGATTTTCCCTTGCTTAAGGAAAGACAGTAAGATGTTTGCTTAGAGCTAGTTTACTTTACATGGCTCTAAAAGATCAAAGAACTTTTCCTGTGACCAAGATTTAGAATTTTCTTACTCTGCCCTTTTGTTACTTGCTTGGAGTTGTGATACCTTCATTTCAATACCACATTCTGACATGCTGAACACTTTGTTCTTTTCTTTTTTGTTAGTTGTGGAGCTTGAACTCAGGGCCTAAGTGTTATCCCTGAATTCTTTTGCTCAAGGCCTAGCACTCTACCACTTTGAGCCACAGCTCAGCTTCCAGTTTTCTGGTTGTTCATTGGAGTTAAGAATCTCATAAGCTAGGGCTGGGAAGGTGGCTCAGTGGTACAGCGCTTGCCTTGCATGCATGAGGCCCTGGGTTCGATTCCTCAGCACCACATAAGCAGGAAAAAAAAGCCGGGAGTGGTGCTGTGGCTCAAGTGGTAGAGCGCTAGCCTTGAGCTGAAGAGCTGAGGGACAGCACCCAGGCCTAGAGTTCAGGCCCCACGACCGGACCCAAAAAAAAAAGAATCTCATAAGCTAGATTCCAGTGGCTCATGCCTGTAATCCTAGCTACTCAGGAGGCTGAGATCTGAGGATCATGGTTCAAAGCCAGCCTGGGCAGGAAAAGTCTGAGATTCTTACCTCCAATTAACCATCAGAAACCAGAAGTGGTGCAGTAAGCTTAAGTGGTAGAGTGCTGGCCTTGAGCTGAAGAGCTGAGGGACAGTGTTCAGGCCCAAAGTTCAAGCCCCACACCTCCCCCCCCAAAAAAAAAAAAAGAAAGAAAGAAACAATCTAACACACTTACCTGCCTTGGCTGGCTTTGAACCTCAATCCTCAGATCTCAGCCTTCTGAGTAGGTAGGATTACAGGTGTGAGCATCCAGCACCCAGCCCTAGTCAGTTCTGATGCCTATACTTTTCAGGGCTTAGTCAGCTGTTTTTTTTCTCCAAATTGTTGAACTTTGTACTAACTGCTTTCTTTTCTGTTCCCCTTGTGATTAAGAAAACCTCATAACTTCAGAAATCCTAATACCAAAAAAAAATCCTAATACATTTTTGGTTATTTTCTTTTTTTTTTTTTTCTTTTCTTTCCTGGGACTTGAACTGGGTATCTGATGCTTGCTTTTGTTCATTGGCTGGCGTTCTACAAGCTGAGCTACACCTCCAACCCAAATAATAAATATTTTAAATAGAACAATCTTACTGTATACTTTTCAAATAGAATGGTAAGGACACAATGGTCTACTGAGAGTGAAGGCTACTTTGTAATAAATGGTAGGTGAACACCTCATTCCATAACAGCTTTTATTTCCTATTATAATATGAAATTTTTTCTAAAGAAAATATCAGATTCATAAAACTGAAACTATTTGGGCCCTATCTCTTGAAAATGTACTCATCTTTGTTCCTTGAGGAAATTCTTCCCTAAGTTTTATGTGTCCTAAGTTTTAGAGTTTGTGTTAAAGAGAATGATCCCTTGGAAGCCAGAGATGTATTCTGGGGCTGGGGGTGTTGCTCAGTGGTAGATTCCTTGCCTAGCATGCACATAATCCCAGGTTCATTTCTCAGCACTAAAAAATGAAAATACACACACACACACACACACACACACACGCACACACACACGCGCACACACACACCATAACAGAGATAAGCTCTGTTTTCCTGTTTTCTTCCTCTGTTCTCCCTTAAGCCTTAAGTATGGTATGAATAAAAACTAAGTCTGCTGTGGTTAGGGGCCCACACCTGTAATATTAGCACTTGGTAAGCTGAGCAAGAGGACTTTGAGTTTGAGGCTAGTGGGGTAATTTAATGAGACTGGTGATAGAGAGAGAGAGAGAAATAGCCTGCTCATGCATCACAGCTCTAAATGGGCAAAGTTTTTTTTATTAAGTTCTCAAAGCATTTTATTACAGATATATACAATATGTTTTGTGTTGGTCTTGGGGCTTGAACTCAAGGCCTGGGCGCTGTCCTGGAATTCTTTTTTTCTTCTTCTTCTTTCATTTTGGTCGGTCATAGGGCTTGAACTCTGGACCTAGACGATGTCCCTGAGCTCTTCAGCTCAAGGTGAACACTCTACCACTTGAGCCACAGCACCACTTTCAGTTTTCTGGTGGTCAATTGGAGATACGAATCTCATGGACATTCCTGCCTGGGCTGGCTTTGAACTGTGATCCTCAGATCTCAGCCTCTGGAGTAGCTAGGATTATAGGCATGAGCCACCAGTGCCTGGCTCTTTTTTTTTTTTTTTTAATCATTGTTATTATAAAGGTGACTTACAATTGGGCTACAGTTACATAAGTTGGGTAAAGCACATGTTTCTTTTTGGACAATCATTCCTTCCCATCCCCATCCACAAGTTGTATAGTTCAATATGTCTAGTGAATACTACTGCTGCATTTGTTCACCCTTTCTTCCTCTATTTCTGTGCTCCTCATCCTCTCAAAGACAGATAAACAAGATGGAAAGAAACGAAAACAGTAACAAAGAAAAAAACCTCTTGTTTCCATTTCTTGCAGTTCATTCGGATAAATATTATTTTATATAATCAGCTACATATAGGTGTTATGCCTTTGTAGTCCTCTCCTAAGGGTTTCTTCCTTTGGTCTCATTGTGTGTAAATGCCTAGAGTCCTGTATAAATTGGCAAAGTTTTATGAAAGAATACATATCACTCAATTTTGTGATTGCTTATGAGATAGCTTTTCTCTCTACCAGATTGAATAAATGGATGCCGTAAGTATATTTACTGGCTAAATGAGTACCTAGGAGTTCTACTCTCTGCCAAGTGAAGTCCCCGAGGGCAGTTGTGGTCCCTGGCCTCACAGAATTTAATATCTGATGAAGGACCAGTTTTGAATGGATCTTGCTGGTATACTCTTAAGGACCGTAATAGCGTGGGCACTGGCTGCTATAGCATAGCACATTGGAAGTATTTAAATCAGACTACAAGGGCTAGAGAAGATAATACTTCAAGTAAATTCTGAAGGAACAATGAAAGGCTTCCATGAAAAAATACAACATAGAGGTCCGGGCCTAGATCCCAACTGCCTCCTTCATCTTCTGCATAACCCAGGGCAGCCTGGGTTATGTGACCCAGTTTGTTATCTGTAAATGACTTTTATACTAGTAGACGTTTCACAGTATTGTTGAAAGGTTTTTATTAGATAATTGATGTGAATTACTCAGCAGAGCACCTGGCATATAATTGTCTAAAATTTAATTACAATCAATATTGTTAAAGGAAATGAGAGAGAGACGAGTTTGTGGAGTGGTGATGTGGTATGTATGTGGACAACATTCTCCGCCCCCCTCTTCCACAGTCTGGGAAGTAGAACAAGGAAGTGGATTGAGGTGAGGCAGAGGAAGGAAGGAGTGCAGATGCTGCTGCCTGGGCTTGCAGATGAGACTGGTTTTGATGCAGGCATAATTGTAGCAGCTAATTGAATGCTTACTCTTAGCCCTAAGTGATTCTAATTGCTTTACATGGAAAGCAGCTACTCTTGACAGTAGTTCCTAATGTAAGCTTTGTATATAGATTATGAAGGTGAGAATGGAGTGGAGCCCCAGTGGCTCAGTTCTTAATGTGGATATGTGCTCTATACTGCCTGTGGAATGGAGAACAGAAAGAAATGTACAAGTTTAAAACAATAATAGTTCCCTGGGTTCGATTCCTCAGCATCACATAAGCAGAAAAAGCCAAAAGTGGCATTGTGGCTTAAGTGGTAGAGTGCTAGCCTTGAACTGAAGAGCTGAGGGACAGAGTCCAGGCCTAGAGTTCAGGCCCCACAACCAACTAAAATAATAATAATAGTAGTAGTAGTAATCCGTAGATCTTGGTCATTGAATATGAGGAAGGAAACAAAACCAAAAGGACACCCCTTAGATGACTAGATTGGGCAGCTGGGAGATCCCGGGAGCTGGTTTTAGCATAGGGAGAATCAATAGAAGAGGCAGAGGCATCAAGACAACATAGTCCATTCAGTTTGGAGCTCATTGCTTTTGAGATTACTCTCAGCCATTGAGTCTAAACCTCAGTGAGTGACATGTTAGAATTCCTGGGTTAGCCATTGACCTGTGGGCAGTTGTTGGCACCATGGTAGTAGGCATTCTGTGTACCTTTTAGTTTCTCTATAATGGGAAATTGACTCAATCTTATGTCACTTCCTTTCATGTATTTATTTTGTAAACTTTATCAAGATCTATTATGTGTTAGGAGGTAGAGATCTGAATAAGCTATATAAAATGTGGCTGTAATGTTGCTCATGATCCATCTGGACAGACAGTCACAAACTGAAGTGTGCTAAGTGCAAACTAAAATAGAAAAGAGACTGCTGCTTTTAAGACTAAGGGCAAGTGTCACAGAAGAAATATTAACTGTAGATTTTTCTTAGAGAAAGTGGATAGGTACGTGCGCTATAGGCCGAGTGAGGAGCATATGCTGAAGTAGTAGTCCTTTAAGAAATCTGTGTGGGGCTGGGAAGGTGGCTCAGTGGCAGAGCGCTTGCCTTGCATGCATGAGGCCCTGGGTTGGATTCCTCAGCACCACATAAGCAAAAAGAAAAAAGCCAGAAGTGGTGCTATGGCTCAAGTGGTAGAGCGCTAGCCTTGAGCTGAAGAGCTGAGGGACAGCGCCCAGGCCCAGAGTTCAGGCCCCACGAACGGACCCAAAACAAAAAAAATAAAACAGTGGGGCACTGGTGGCTCACGCCTGTAATCCTAGCTACTCAGGAGGCTGAGATCTGAGGATCGCGGTTCAAAGCCAGCCCAGGCAGGAGAGACCGTGAGAGTCCTATCTCCAATAAACCACCAGAAAACCGGACGCTGTAGCTCAAGTGGTAGAGCGCTCGCCTTGAGCTGAAGAGCTGAGGGACATTACCCAGGCCCAGAGTTCAGGCCCCACGACCGACCCAAAAAAAAAAAATCTGTGTGTCCCCAAAACAGTAAGCTTCTCTGCCAATGCCTTCATTGCAGGGTCGGGGTCCAGTATATCTGCCTGGAGAGGGGGGATACAGGGCAGGTGGTGTGCATACCAGGAAGAGCTCTGTGTATTCATAACCAGTAAGCAGAACTTGGTTCTAATCTTAGGGAAGAGCTAGAAAAGGGATTGTGATTGAGATGATAAGATTTGTGTTTTGTCTCCAGATCCTTTCTCTGGTCCCTCAAGTAAGCTTCAAATTTTTAAGGTCAGATGTTTTTCTTAGTGATCAAAATAAAAGAAAAATGTTTTCCTGAATCTAATTCAGTGCAGATTCTCTACTCTTGCTGTCTAAATTCCTCGGCTTTGAGCTTAGTCAAGAGTTTATCGAAAGCAGTTATCCTGTACTTTTTCTCATTTTTGTCTCAGTCAGATCACTTCTGGTGTTCAGATACCTGCCCTTTGTGATTGTACCACAAGTACCTTGCCTGGGTTTACTGCTCACTTGGCATTTGTTTGGTCCTCATGACCAGGAAAATATATGAGAACTCTGACAACTATGTTTACTCTGTTTGACCTTGATTGCAGCACAAAGTGACTTTTCCCTGATTTTGTGGAGTAATAGGAAAAGTCTTCACTGTCATGTGCCCACAGAACTTTCTAGAATAAAGTTACTTAATGAGCTTATGGAGGCCAGAGGGGAATCTCTGCCTAGTTGGAGTGATACAGTTAACACTTTGTCTCTATAGGCCTGCAGGGATTTTCTCATGTTAGCCCAGACCCATAGCAAAAAGTGGCAGAAGTCATTGCAGTATGAAAGAGACCAGCGTATCCGATTGGAAGAGACCCTGGAGCAGCTGGCAAAGCAGCACAATCACCTGGAGAGGGCCTTTCGGGGAGCCACAGTGCTGCCAGCAAACACTCCTGGCAGTGCTGGATCTGTGAAAGGTAAGAGATGGATTCTTGCATAGCTCATTCTGATAGTAACCAGCTAGTTGCTAGAACTCCAAATTCTCCACAACTAATGACTAATGTAAAGTGCAGTTTGAACCATTTATTTCTTCCGGTTTACCACTGCTTTACCATTTGGTACCTTGTGATTAGTATTTAAAAGAACCATCTGTACCAGGCATTTGGTAAATATAACCAGAGAAAACAAAAACCATTTTTCTTGTTGTAGATCAGTGCTGCTCTGGTAAGGGGGACATGAGTGATGAAGATGATGAGAATGAATTTTTTGATGCACCTGAGATCATCACCATGCCTGAAAATTTGGGCCACAAGTAAGTTGTCCTAGTCTGTTGAAGGAAATGAACATCACAGATCATCAAAAGTTTAGAAACTAGCTGGGTACCTATGGCTCACGCCTGTAATCCTAGCTACTCAGGAGGCCAAGATCTGAGGATTGTCATTCTAAACCAGCCGGGGTAGCAAAGTCTATGAGATTTGTACCCCCATTTAGCCACCAAAAAGCTAGAAGTAGAGGTAAAGTGCTAGTCTTGAGCAAAGAGCTCAGTCACAGTGCCAGGCTCTGAGTTGAAGACCCAGGACAGACCAAAAAGAGAAAGAGAAAAAAATATGCTTTGATATTCTGCCTTGTAAATAACCATTGACGGCAAAACTGTAATTTTGGCCTTTGTTCTAATTCTCTTGTGCTTCCCATCCACACAGACGTACTGGCAGCAACATCAGCGGGGCCAGTAGTGACATCAGCCTTGATGAACAGGTATCTATTCTGTGGAAGTTATAGAAATCTGGGCATTGGGTGGGATTCCCAAGGTTTGTTTGTGAAATGCTAAGACAAACAGCATTTTTAGCATGGGGGAAGGGAAGGTGGCAAATAGTGGATTTTCTGTTCTTTGTGGCTGATTGAATAGCTTTGTGTTTGCTCTCAGTACAAGCATCAGCTGGAGGAGACCAAAAAGGAAAAGAGAACAAGAATACCATATAAGCCGAACTATAGTCTCAACTTATGGAGCATCATGAAGAATTGCATCGGAAAAGAACTCTCCAAGATCCCCATGCCGGTGAGATCCTCTCAGCCTCTGTGAGAAGAGTACCATTGTGAGAGCCTGGCCCACTTAAGTGGCAGTTTTGATCATGGTCTTTAATTATTTTTATAGTCATAAACTCTTAAACAAGCTGGTTTAGTTTTGGCTGTGGATTCAGTATTACTTCCATATCACGTGGAATCAGATGCGTATGTTCAGTAACATTTATGAGCAAGGGCTCAGCAAGGGCTGAGGCATGCCAAATAAATACATCATTGTCCCATTTTCAAGAAGCATACAATTTAAAAGAGCCATGAACACAGACAGCCAACACTATTTTAGTATTAGTGTTGTGGGAAGTGCTATACATACAAATGTTTAGAGAACAGAGAAGCAAAAACAGTGCATTCCAACCAGGAAGATAAGGACTGTCTCCATTGTGAATGAAGATGGAGTTTAGGCTGATCTCTTTGCTTCCAGTCCTGTTTTCTTCATTCTGTCCACACTGCTGCCAGAATGACCTATTTAAAATTAGAGGTGTGGTCATGTCATTCCTCAATTTAAGTCATCCCTTTGCTGGATCCTTGTTGCTTTGAACATAGTCCAGATTCCTTTGTGGGTTTGGTATGGTACTTCTTCCACATGCCATATATATCCAGTGTTCTGCTCAGTAGGACTGTTGTCAGGTACTCAGAGATATCTTGTCTTTTCCTTAAGAGCATTTACATACTCTGCTCTTTCTGCTTGAATCCCTTCCTTCTTTCCTGCCTGCTTTCTGTTTACCTTCTTCCCTCCTTCCCTCCCTCCCTCCTTCCCTCTTTTTTTTCCTCCCCTTTTTCCTTCTGTCTGTTTCCTGTCAGTCCTTATGACTTCTTTTGCTGTGGCTAAAACCCTTTTCTTCTGAATTCATGTACAATGTTGCTTTCCAGTAAACCTGTCCAATACAGGATGAGTTATTTCTCCTTTGTGCTCTATCATGTTAGACTGCACAGTGTATTTAATTTGCTTATTCATTCTACAAGTGTAAATTAGGTGTCTCCTCTTTGCCCAAGGTACCAGTGGATACAGGTTCAACTTATAAGTCTAAAATATATTGCTTTGGACCAAAGTAGCAAACTAAAGCCCTTGAGCCAAATCTGGCAGCAGACTATGCAGTCCACAAGCCAAGGATGTTTTCTTTTAAATGGTTGAAATGGAGGAAAGCGAGTAAGATACTTCATGAGATTAAAGTCCATAAAGTTTTATTGGAACACAATACTCATTCATTTAGATTTTTTGTTTTGTCAGTTATGGGGCTAAGTTGTAGGAGGGCTTTGAGATCTGGAGTCTTGGTTTTTGTGGGTCATTGGGCTTGAACTCTTGGCCTGAGTGCTGTCCCTCAGCTCTTCAGCTCAGGGCTAGTGCTCTACCACTTGAGCCACAGCACCACTTCCAGCTTTTTCTGTTTATGTGGTGCTGAAGAATCAAACCCAGGGCCTCATGCATGCAAGGCAAGCACTCTACCACTGAGCCACCTTCCTAGCGCCCTCATTTAGATCTTGTTTGTGGCTGCTGCCATGTTGCAACAAGTGTTGTGTGGTGTGACAGACCACGCGCTCTGAAAGCCCTTTGCAGAAAAGCTGGTGAAGCCTGGCCTTACACAGATCCTGACTTAACTCATTCTTCTGTTAAACTCCGGAAGTCAGTTGTCCAAAGATACTACTCCACAGAGTCAGGCTCAGGCTTCCTTCTGCCCTGTCACTCTGCTGCTAGGTGGCCTCCATTCTTAGGTGCACCCTGATTGCTGCAGTGTGAGCCATCAAGGTCACATTGCAGTCAGCTGCAAGATGGAGAAAGAAGCCGAGCAGGCTGTCTTTTAAGGCTGCTTCCTGGAAATTGCATAATCCATTAATCTCTTAAATCTCTGTGGCTAGAATTTATATACGGGCATAGCTAGCTGAAGGAAAATGGGGAAGGGGTATCCCTTCCCCATAAGGTTCTGTCAATAGCCATTATTTGACAGGCAGAAGTACAAAAACATTTTCCCTATCTTCTTGGGGCATAAGGACCAGTATATGATTTCTGCCTCTTCATAGACTTCATTCCTCATGGATAGGATTTGTATCTTATTGCTCATGGAAAACAATTAAGGTATGTGGGATTTGTGGGTTTTTTTTTTTAATGTTTGACTTGGGTTGGGATTATAGCTCAGTAGTACAGTGTTTGCTTATTGTGTTCAGGGCCTTCAGTACAGCAAAGGAGTGTGTGTGTGTGTGTGTGTGTGTGTGTGTGTGTGTGTGTGTGTTAAACTACTGACAAGAAAAGGCTGTGCATTAGACCCACTTGCCTGGAGTATTAGATGCCTTCAAGGAAGTAGTGGGCAGGTAGGTGAGCAGGTCTTCACAGTCTTGGGAAATGCAGTTTCCAATTAGACATGGGTCTTCTGGGCCTAGGGACCTTTCCATCCTGCCTTACTTCCTTAATGATACTGCCATTAAGATTGTACAGTTCTAGCCGGGCGCTGGTGGCTCACGCCTGTAATCCTAGCTACTCAGGAGGCTGAGATCTGAGGATTGCAGTTCAAAGCCAGCCTGGGCAGGAAAGTCCATGAAACTCTTACCTCCAATAAACCACCAAAAAACAGGAAGTGGCACTGTGGCTCAAGTGGTAGAGTGCTAGCCTTGAGCTGAAGAACTGAGGGACAGCGCCCAGGCCCAGAGTTCAAGCCCTACGACCGACAAAAAAGAAAAAAAGAATTGTACAGTCCTATACTTTTCATCTGCAAATCAAGTACTCACCCTTCCCTGGCTTTGTCCTTCCTGCATCACTGGAAAGCTGAGCTCTCTGGGCTGTTTTTCAGGTTTGTGTGTCTGTTGGAGTCTGGCTGGGCTCCATTAGTACAAGACACTGGTAGGAGATCAGAGCTGGGAGGAAGAGTATTTCTCCCCTTGGGCAGTTTTCTGGCAGCATCTGAGTGGATCTAGTTTTCAGTGGACTGTCTTCCTCTTTCACATGATTTGAGTTTTGTCCAGATCTCCTCAGCCTCTGGCTGTGGCAGTGCTTCTGCATTTCTTTTTTCTTCCCTATGGCCTCCTGCTGTTCTTCATTTCTGGGTTTTCTTGTGGCTGCTCAGCTCTCCACTAAGCTGTATAACGAGTTGCTGCTTCCTTCCATTTAAATACTCATTCATTTGTTTCCTTATTTAGCCTCTGAGAGAGGCCAGTGATTTGTTTTTATCAACTCAGCTCTCAGTAGCTGTTTCTCTACCTGCAGAGTACGTGAACTGTCTGATATAAATGTCTGGAAAAATGTTTGACAGCTCTTCTTTCCCTTACAGGTGAACTTTAATGAGCCCTTGTCCATGCTTCAGCGCCTTACTGAAGACCTGGAATACCATGAGTTGTTAGACCGAGCCGCAAAATGTGAGAACTCTCTGGAGCAGCTCTGCTATGTTGCGGCTTTCACCGTGTCCTCCTACTCTACTACTGTCTTCCGAACCAGCAAGCCATTCAACCCACTCCTCGGGGAGACCTTTGAGCTGGACCGGCTAGAGGAGAATGGGTACCGATCCCTTTGTGAGCAGGTACCAGAGCACCACCACCATAACACGTTTCCTTTCTGAGGACAGGAATGAGGTTTTGGTTGATCCTCCAGAGGGAATTGAAGGATATGTCAGTCCTGTCATCCCTATCTGAGAGTCTATTCTGCAGGCCCTGCTATTTACCTCCGATTGCCGGTATAATGTCAAAGGAAACGTTGGGTGTTTATCACTAGTTAATAGGGAATGTCTTTTCCCTGTCCTTTCTGCCTGCTCACTTTAGACCTGATGCCTTCCAGGTGAGTCATCACCCCCCTGCTGCTGCGCACCATGCGGAATCCAGAAATGGCTGGACATTACGTCAGGAAATCAAAATCACCAGCAAGTTTCGGGGCAAATATCTCTCCATTATGCCCCTCGGTAAGACCACCATCCCTAGGAGGGAGGAGTGAGAGGTTTTCTGTCATGGTAGAGGAAGTTGCTGGATCAGTTCTGATTGGGGCACTAAACCTTACACCTCGCTATCCAGCTTTGGGGAGGTGGTTGAATTTCTCAGCTATCAGTTTTGTTTCCTAACGCTTTGTTGGGGATTCATGTGTAATTTTTCATAAGGAATATTGATCCTGTGGTTTTATTTTCTTCAAATGTCTTTTCTTGCAGTTGTCTGGCTTTGGTGTCAGAATAATACTGAGCTCATAGATCTGAGAGGTGGGGGTAGAGGAAGAGCTATTGATAAGAGATTAACGATGTATTTAGGCAAATATTTTGAAGGTGTTTGTGATGATTAACTGAGATAATGAGTGAGGAAAATGTAGCACAGAGCCTGGTTTATGGCAGAGTTGCATTTATCACTAATGTTATTGCCATCATTGTTGTCACCAGCCAATCTACCAGAGTTATTTGAATCTTTTCTACAAGAAAGTAAAGACTCACTCTCCTAATCCACAGCAAGTCTGTGTTCTTTTCACTAGTGCTTACAGAGGAAACTTAGTTATTTTGTTAATACAGTTGATCAAGTGGCACTGTGGCTCAACTGGTAGAGCACCAGCCTTGAGCTGAAGAGCTGAGGGACAGCGTCCAGGCCCAGAGTTCAAGCCCTACAACTGACAAAATTAAAAAAAAAAATACAGTTGATCAGATTACCTACTATTTATTTGTAAATATAGACATGTACATACATTATTTTGAATCCTCAGTTACCTATGGTCAAAGTACTGATTTGGGTTTGGTAATGATTTGACATCAAATCATTGGATCAGGAACCTATATCAATGGGCACATATTATATTTGGAGCATTTTACTGGGCAAATCAACATTACCCAAGTCTACAGAAAATAAAACCAAGGCCTTGGGAATTTAAAATAGGGTTGAATACTGTAATGCAATTCTGATGCTAACAACCAGAGTTTCTGCACACTGTATACATGAAGCACACAGTCTCCAACAAAACTGTCCTTGCTTCAGATACAGACCACAAATTTGGGATTACCTAGGCCACTCATGCTTTGGACCAACTAGTTTGGGAGCTCACACAACTCCTTCATATTTGATAACTTATTAGAATGACTCATAGGACTCTGGGAAGTGCTATACTTACGGTTTTACCAAATCAAAGTTACTTAAATGAAGAGAGCCATACGGTGTTGTCTGGGAGGGTCCTGTTCACAGAGCTTACTTATCTTCTCCCTACGAGCAGGGCACATCACCCTCTCTTCATGCTGACATGTCCACTAGTTTGGTTTCCAGGGCTTTTATTGGGGGTTCATTGACCGAATTATTTTCCATATGATTAAATTCAATATCCAGTCTTCCTTTTGGAAGTTAGGGAGTTGGGCTGATACCAAATGACTCCTAGCCCTGACTTTCTTATCACATGGTTGATGTTTTTGGCCTGGACTGCCTTCTACCTGAGTTTCCTCATTGGTGTAGCTATCAGAGGCTTGCCTGGAGTCATCTTATCAATCTTACCAATACAGAGTATCAGGCCTACTGGATAACAGATGCTTCCTATTCCTTGAGAATGATAGGGGTTTAAAGGTTCTCTTGTGGAAGATATGAACAAAGACTGGATAAAATTCCTTAATATACAATATATTAACAAGTGATAGTGCCAGGACTGAATCCAGCTATAATTCCAAAGCTTTGGTTTGTCCACGCCTCTATTTTAACTACTAAAGGCTGTGGATAAGTGATTTCTTTAAGGTCACACAGCTAGTTAGTTATTAATAGCAAGTCCTGGCCACCATAATGATTAACCATGTGCCCTTTTTATAATGGAGTTTCACTTTTTTTCTCATTAGGACATGTTTGACTTGTTCCTATGCATATATTTTGCAATTGGTTTTGGGAGATCTAGTTCCCTAGCTAAGAGATATCAGCTGTTAGTGTTTATCATTATTCAGCTATATGTTATTAATACATTTAAAAATCAAGAGGGGCTGGGAATGTGGCTCTGTGGTAAAGTGTTTGCCTAGTATGCATAAAGCCCTGGGTTCCATTCCTCAGTACCATGTAAACAGAATAGGCCAGGAGAGGCTCTGCGGCTCAAGTGGTAGAGCACTAGCCTTGAGCAAAAAAAGCTCAGGAACAGTGCCCAGACCCTGAGTTCAAAACTCATAACTGCCAAAAAAAAATCAAGAGAAGAAAAAAATTCAATGCTTCCAACATTTAAGAAAGATATGTACATTTTTTTTTCCATTCTTAATTTTAGTCTGTATAGCTCTGTTTTTCTGGTATGGCCTAATTTGTATACCTCTCGGTGTTTAGGTACCATCCACTGTATTTTCCATGCAACTGGGCACCACTACACTTGGAAAAAAGTGACCACAACAGTGCATAACATTATCGTGGGCAAGTTGTGGATAGATCAGGTGAGCAAAGTTACCCACGTGCTTCTGAAATTCAGAACACTTCTTCATATAATGTCTGCTTTTAAGACAGAGGAACTGGCCTCGGAATGTTGCTGCTGCTTCACTTATAGCCCTACCGTCACGTCTCCAAGCTTTTGTATCACAAATAATTACTTAAAAGTGGCCAAAATTAACATTCATCAGTGACAACTAGGACTATATTAGGCAGTACAAAGAATAAAGACTTAATAAACAGCACTTAGCTGGGCACCTGTAATTGTAGCTACTCAGGAAGCTGGGGTCTAGCAGGTCATGATTTGAAACCAACCCAAACTGAAAACTTCTCCAATTAACCAGCAAAAAGTAGGGCTGGAGGCAAAGTTCAGTGGTAGAGCACCAGCATGAACAAGAAAGCTGAGCAAGTAGAAGAATGAGTTCAAGCCTTGGTACCAGGAAAAAAAATGTTTTTAATTATTTAGCTAATTAACTAAATTAATGAACATGGCATTCTGCTTGAGCCTACTTTCACCCTTGGCATGACTTCCACTCTTAATCCTTCCTTGTTCATGAAACATCTATTGCCAGATGGTGCACTAGGTACCAGGGTTAAAGTATGTGACAAAATAAACTAGAATAAGGGAAGTACTAAGGTTTTTTTAAAAGAATTCCATTAGCATGTACAAGAATGCTTTCATTGGGGCATTTTTGCTCATTCTCACTCTAAGACTTGTAACTGTTAAGATTGCCTTTAAGACAATGGTTGTAGTAAATTCAGAAAAAGAGAATGCTATCTTCTGAGCAGTCAGGAAGAGCTTCATACTAGATGGAGGAATTAAGCTGGATCTTTCAAGAGCAGTCTGGAATTCAGAGGATAGAAAGGAGGCAAAAAAAAAAAATGAATAAAGTCTAGAAAGCCCTGTCATATATAACCTTGAAACTATGTGTACTTTGATTTAAGCAGAGGAGTTCAGGAAGGGTGCTCTTTTGAGGGATTGCATGGGAAGGTAAATTATTATGTGAATTCCATTATATATTCAGGTCAAATCCTGCCACCTACCATGTGACACATAAAGCAAGTGGTATTAATCCCAACCTGAAATGACAAAAGTTACAAAAGATTCTACAGCATGG